CAAATATGCTTGCGAAATATTTTTTGGCTTCCTTTTTTTTTATTGTCTTTCTTTTCGGTTTTTTTTTTTAAATATATTGTGATTTTAAAATATATTATGAAATAGAAGAAGAACTGCATACATTAACCAATGAGGAAGTTGAACCTGCAGTTGGATCGTACGACTTTCGGGACATACCGAATATGATCGATCGTTTCATCATTTGGCTAGTTGTTTAGTTCTTTTTTTATCATTTTGTATCGTATTTAGAGCAACGCTGAATTGTGATAATCTTTGTTGGATTAGTACGAGTTGCAGTTCCTAAGGGAAGTGGTTATAATTATTCTTGAAGACTAGAACCGAAGAGCAACCCGGATCAAATATGATTTGTGATCTTAGAAAACCGGGTCGAACAGCAGCCTAAACCAATAAATTTGATCAGATATTGCAGGCGATCAAATCGATCAGCTTTACTTTTGGAAGAACGAAGCGTCGAACGATCTTTCGATTTTGCTTCGTTATGCTTCAATTTTAGTCCAGCTAATGTTATACCTGGAACGCAGTTTTCTTTCACGCACAACAAACTGATATTATTAGTACCAACGCAGAATGCTCTTTATCGATTTAACTTCGAGATTGGGATTCAGAAGAGAAACGAGGTTACATTTACTAGTTCCATTCAGTTGTTCTTTTGTGCATTTGTATTTTTGTTTTGGAAAAAAAAACAGACTTCCTTCAGTAAGAGTGGAAAGAAGAAAAAAGGAGGAGAAATTACGAGCTGCGTAATGTTGTCTGAGATGATGTAGCAGTTCTGCAATGAAAATGGAAATCTTAATTGTTTGCAGGCTGAAGCCGTCCTGAAGCTATCAGAAGATCAAGCGTTCCTATATAATTACGATTGCTACGAACTAACATCATCAAAAACTGCTTGTCGTGCAAGTATCATACATACGGCTGATGGTGGTACATCTGCCATTTATTCATTGGGTGATGGGCAGATTGTTCTTGTACAAATGCGCCATGAACCAGGAAAGAGAGGCCAAGGTTTGTTCGAATCATTTTCGAATCCTTACTTTATTCTGCCAAGTATTTGGTTCTTTTTTTCATAGGAGTTATTCATGAGGAATATATCATAACAACTGTATCAGAGAAGTTCTTGAAGGTTATGAAAAAGTAATAAGAGGCGAAGGATTGCTTCAGCGAGTCATGAAGGCAGCCCATCAGTTGAGCTTAGTTGTTAGCTTGGCATCATGTGTGGTTCATCGTGACATTCTCTTTTACGTACTTTTCGATGACAAAAGGCTACATGTTTATGTGGTTTGTTTACTTTTTATGAATCCATAATCACGACGCTAAACAATAACAGAGTTAGGATGAGTCGGTCATTTATAAATATATGGATAGGTTGTCATTTGTAAATATATGAATGATGGATAGGTTGTCCGGCAAAAGGGTTAATTACAACCTACCAAAATGCAAGCTTATCAATCATAAATCGAGCATACTGTTAGAATTCTCACGTTGGCTAAAAGTAATCTACTTATGAATTATAGAATGGTAAAAAAGAGTACGATGGGAACTTATATGATATAATAATACGTAATAGCGATGGAGGCGATGGAGAGCATGGTAATTACGATTCAAACTTACCTTCAAATAAGAAATGATATATATGAAAGCTTTCCTGCTCAGTTACTGTTCTTACTTTTTTTTTTTTTTTCAGTAACTGCAGAAATGGTAAAGACTTGCTCTAACGCGAACTCCTTTTATGTGGTCGTGCTTTTTCAAATTGATGACCATTGCGTGGTTCGTTATTCTTTGTTACTTTCAAATTTAGTGAGCTAATGTAATACTAAAATAATTATGAAGAGCCGCAGACAGACTAGTTCAATTTCTATCCAATCGGCACTTGTGTAAACAAATGTTTTGGGGCATCGTCCTCGGGCTCTCACTATATAAGCATTCAGTTCTCACATTTCTGGACAAAAAATGTGGCGTGGAAGGATATACGAAGATCGGCGAAGGTAATAAGTCACTTTTGCAAACATTCTAAGTTTTTTCATTCATATATGATTATGTGGTAATTATTATAGTTCATGTTGGGAAAAATTGATCCGTATCTGTTACCAGAACATGTTGGGTATTTCTCGTTTATCAACAGCTTCCAAACAGAAGTGCGTAAGTTTGCTGGGTTTCATGTCTTTTGTTTCGGAAAAAAAATTCAGTTTTTCTCGTTCTCCGAGTTACTAGCGATTAGTGAGTTACTAGTGAAATCACTAGTGGGTTTCAAAATGTTTCAGAGTGGAGTAGTGGATTTCACTTGTGCAATGCAAGAGGATATTTTGGATATTATTTGTTTATGTAAAGTTTCGGATGGAATTCGCTATTGTTTACGCTCTGCTTCAATTGATTGGTCAGTTTCATTAATATTGTTGGAACTTCCAAGCACTTGTTTCTTTCTTGCATGGAATCATTTTCGAAATCCTTCCTTGTGCATTTATACTCCGCTCACACGACAAGTCATTCACTAACCAAACACATGGTGTTATATTTGATTTCGATAGCTCGCAGTCAAATAGTAAAAATTGTTTTCATGTCGTGGAACTTTTAGTTTAAATGGTGTGTTAACAATTCCTTGGAGAGGAGTAAATGAAATCCACGGTGGTGATCCGCAGGTGAGTGTATTGCAAGCCAAACCAAAGCAGTCAGTTACTGCACAGAAATCATATATCTTCGATCCCAACAGATATTCGTTTGGCGTTGTTCTGCGTTCACTCCAGGTATTTCTGTTTGGATCTAAAAGGTAGTAAAATGCTTATAAAATAACTTTCACTTATTTTTCTACTCAGTATCTTATGTGGTTCATCCATAGAATCTGCCCGTGTTATGGCCAAAATTAAAATTTTTTTTTTTTCTAATCTGGAATCTGCCAGTGTTTTTTTCGGCTTATGTAGTAACATGTAATAATAATTTTCAGTTAGTTTGCAAAAAAGGAACTTTCAATTGGGGACTTTTAGCAAGACGACACGATTGGCGAATGTTAAGAGAAGCAGCGGAAAAATACTGCAGCTCAGCAGAGGTACTTCAATTCTTTACCAAATTTTATGCGGAAGAGTATTCTATAAATCCTAAAATTAACTGGTAATGCATTTTATTGTTGGGGATCGATTATTGTTTTATAGAAAAGGATTTAAAAATATTTTATAGAAAACTTTTTATAGTACGTAGATTATATATATTTTACAGTGCATGTTGTAGTACGTTGGAGAAACGAATTATATGTAACTATTACAGTTCGATCAACATTATGTTACTCGAGAGGATCGTTCACTTTTGGCTACAATACCGCCTAATCAAGCAGGACAAGAGCGATTCTGGACAGCTCTCACAAGGATGTGCAATGAATTGATACAAAATGAATGCCTTTCACTAGGTCTCTGGCACTCTGTTCCACTTGGCTTGTATGGTACGATACAACAAGTATGGTTGTTTTTTTTGCTGTTTGTTAATTTTATCATCACCACTATCCCTTGAAATTCGACTTTGGAAATAGGAAGAAATTTTGATCGGTTAGGGAGCAAACTTCATGTGGTGGTAGCATTGATTCTTATTTGATATGTGGACGTTGGAACAGATCTATACCCTGTAAACGTTGTGAGTTTACTCATATTAGTGTTTTGTTACTGCAGGGACGTTTTACGGTATGTCGTCCGGGCGATGAGCAGCTTCGCTGGTTCGAACATTTGATTGGGAATGATGAAAAGAATGTGAAAATATGTTGGGATATTGTTACAAAATTTGCTGCAGGAGGACTAGTATGCTACTTTCTCTTCTACAGCATGGTTCTGTACGTTGAACTGTGAATACATCCATGAAGATCCATGAATTCTCCATTAATATTTGGATAAACTTATAATATTCCAAGTTTATACATTATTTGGTCATCATAAAATGTATTGAATTGAACACATTTTGTAGGTTACCAGTGCAATAAGTATAGAAGAAAGTGAGCAGTTCGTAAATGCATTTCCAACCGTTTCACATATTTTCGAGGATGCAATCATGAAGTTTACCGAATTAAGACCCGTCGATGAGTTTGATTTAGACGGTGTGTTATTTGTTGGCATCAGAACTAATGAAATTGTTCGATCATTCTACAAAGCGTGGAGCATCTTCTGTTAATACTGAATGCCGCAACTGCATATATGATGTAGCCGCGTATAGATCTCACAAGCTTGCGATGGAAAATTAGTGCACCTACTTTGATAAAAATTAATAACTTTGTTTTTAGCAATCTATCTGTTAACTGCGTAGGTGTTTTGTTTTAGCAGCAGACGGAACACCATTTCATGGATCGTTCACAGTTGGCTTGTTGGCCACCCACTTCGGACGTTTAATTGATGACAGATTAGCCCTTAGCCAATGCTTTATCGCTCTAATGGAATTAGTAAAAACTCTCCACTCTTCTCAGAATGTAATGGCTTTTCATTTTCTTTCAAGTTATTTAATTAAATTTATGTACTTAAGTCACCAAACTCATAGCATAACAGTAATACATATTATATTCAGGAGGGAATACCACTAGATGCCAGATGGGGGCTTACAGTTAATACTCACGAAAAATCACTTCATGATATGAATCGACAATTTAGCATCTTATCACAGACAATGAAACTGCGAATTTCTATGTAAGTGTTTATTTTTCTGATATTTCTAATATATGCCTCATTCAGTTTGGTGATTTCGATGTAAAAGATGGTTGAAGTCAAAGCAGTAGTAGATATGAATAACAGATAGTTTAAATAATAAAGATGGTCAATTACAGTGATCACTACAACGAAATAAACCTAGCAGATGGTTTCTTCGCTAGTCCTGGCATCCCAACCATACTCGGTTATTCACAGGATAAGGTATATCATTTTCCTTTGATATGATCGTTTTCTCGTATAGCTCGAATTGAATCCTTTATCACGAAGTGAATAACCGTCGAGTAGAATCAAAGGGATTTGGCCAATCATGCTTCAGGAGTTCGAAAACTCAGGACTCTATAATGCAGTTATGTGATATCTGGGCTTAAATGATCCGGGACGGTCGTAATTTAATCGGACATTTTGGCAATATGAAATTTTAGAGGTTATGAAGATTTATCAGTTGATGATTTCTTAAGGAATTAGTGGGTGAGGAAGAAGATACGGAAGAGGATGAAGAAGAAACTCGGGAAGGCAAAGCTGATATTGATGCTGAAAAGATTCCTTGTGTATCGCCTCTTAAACAGTCAACATCAGCATACTCGCAATTTATTAATAGGATCGTTAATGACGCTGTGATTGTTCTATGGCCAGAAAATACGGCTATGGTATTGGCCAGGTTTTTGGCCAACTATCATCAGTATTCTGCACTGCAGGTTCGTCTATTTTTCTTTTCTTTTTAATTTAATAAACAGTTGGATATGTGAATCGGCTAGCTTTATCTTTTCCAGGCATACTGTCAATTGAACGAGCCTTATATAACAGAACTATGTGCTGCTTTTCGGTTTTTCGAAGGCTATGCATTTGCTGGTTTAGGAGATCCAGAAAAGGTAGTTTTCATCATGCAAGATTCCGCTGTTTGGTTTTTAAACTTAGTTTTCTCCATCCAAGCAGCAGTTATTTGCAGGCATTGCAGTCATTCTTGGATGCACTAGAAGGTATCAATCGCGAAGATGAAGCGCTTAATAGGGTACTTTCTCCCGATGGTAATGTTCCGGATGAGCCATACAGTGAATTGCAATATCTGTTAAAGGTAAATTTAAACATCAACGTGGTGACTTAACAAAATAGTGCCTGCCAATTATGTCAAGTTCTAAATGAACAAGTAATACATTTTTAGTCAGCCATTCGAAATTAAGACACATTAACAAATGTATTTCAGATCATGGCTGCCATGGAAGTACACGGTTTTCACGAGCAGCTAGTTTACTTGTCAAGACGTGCCTTGAAAGAAGCACTGCAAACCAAGCACTTACACACTAGAGTTTTGGTATTATATTCTCTTTAGAATCTTTGAAAAAAAAGTTTTCGAAAAAAACCATAAAAGATTTGTTTTTATTCCGACATAGTTTTACAATATTTCTTATTTTAGCCCGGATTGTATACGTCTCTTTTTAAATTCGAACTGATTACGGAGCGGTATGATGATGCCCTCAATACTCTTCTCGCTAATCCGGTTCCGGAAAATCGTCGGATATGTCTAAGAGAACTTATCGCGAAATTAATTGAGCAAGGGAAGAATAAAGTGATTGTCGATTTAAATTATGGAAATATGGAACAACAGGTCTGTGTATTGTATATTTTTTTCTGTTGAAAAAATGTTACTGGAGCTTAGGATCGTTCCTAGAAGAGATAAGGAGAAATGAAGAATGAAAGGGAGGAAATTGTTTTATTAATATTCGACAAAGGGCAACACAGTTCTGATTTTTAAGGGGAACAAATATTAAACTCAGGAAGCAGTAGTCTTCGAAACTGAATTAGATTACTGCTTCCTGTTTGGTGATAATTTGCATTATTCTTAATCATTTCTAATTGTTTAAGGTGGTCAATATATTGAAAGCGGATGCTCGTACTTCAGATGTCAGTAAAGAAGGCTATTTCTACGAACTGATCTATGCATTTCATGTTAAACGAGATCTCTTTCAACGAGGTAAAATTATCAGTCAAGGCTATGACTGATGATCAGATTAATGTGATGATTGACATCATGAGTTTCTTTCAAGCGACTAATGCAGAGCCGTATTGAACACCACTTATGCAACACTGGAAGCCTGAATGGTCTCGCTCATGAATATTGTTCCCCAGATTAGGGAACTGACCTGTCCCACAACCGCTTATATTTCACTTTATGATGATAAATTTTCCTGCGACCATTTCTTCTTACACAGCTATAATTTTTGCAGCAGCACTAACAATGCTCGAATATTCATGTCGTTTGCAGTCGGAATTACAGAATCGAAACGTATTATCTCGTCGTAGTCGTGCTCTTAGCATTGTTGTCAGTTTGCTTTCATTGCTACCAGAAGCTGATCAGTTCCTCATACTCCCAGCATCACTGGTATCTTTTGGTAGCTTGGATTTAATCCTTATGTTTAATTAATTTTATAGAAAATATTTGCAGGAAAGTCAGATGCCGTTTATTAAAAAGAAAGCGATTTAAAATGAAAGTTTTGGAATTATCAGAAATTCTACTCTAAAACATTTTTTTTTAAAGGAAAAGAGCAAAAATCCAACGGAACAAATCGAAAAAGCAGATGAACAGGTGCAGAAGGTTGAGCGTAAAATGGGCAAAAATGCTCTCGTCATCTGGACACTAGACGATATTTCGAAGGTTCTCCATGTATAATTCCTTAATTTATGCGTATGGGAAGGTTACAGAGACTGTTTACAGGTATCGTAAAAAAGTGAAAGAAAAATATCACAAATTGTTTTCATGATTCTAGAGGGCGCTGTTATCATCAGCTCGATTGGTATTATTCGATGCGAATTACGATCCGAAAGAGAAGAAATCGATCCCTCCACCTATTAAACTTGAAGAAATTTTTGAGCAACTTATTCAGAAAAAACTCTTTGATCACGCCTGGGAAATAAGCAAGTAATAATTTGTTGTTTCATTATTTTATCTTCTGTAGTAGCAGCACGTATATGTCGTTTGAGTTAAATCGGTCATATCTTTCAGGGTTTTCGACCTGAAACCATATCCACTGTTAAAATCGGTTACTGTGGAATGTATTCATCTGGATGCAAGACCACCGAAGTGTGAACCATGGTGGGTGGCCAAAAATCGGAAGTTCGTGAAGAAAATACCCAGGTTCATCCAACTTATTATTTATTGGTTAAACTTTCTTATAGTTTTCCTAAAGTATCTTGCGCAGTTGACTTCGAAATCAGCATTTTTAGTTTACGAGAACGACATTGGGCAATTTTGCGAGGGTATGTGGAAGTAGCCATGCGGAGGTGTCCAGAAGATTTCAAGATATTGTGGACAGTAACCTTTGTGTTTCTTCAGCATCAGTGGCACATGCCTCCATGGTTATCAAATTGCTATGAGGTATCATATTGTGAATTATATGTGCGGTGTAACAAATCGCGCCAGGTTATTATAAATGTCACAATGTAATATTTACTGTGTCCGACACTATGTTCGTAAAATTCGTACCATATTTCAGGATCGGTGTCCAGCGCAGTATGCTTACCTGTTAATAATGTTTGATCATCTTCATCTAGCCTGTGAAACACTTAAAAAGAAGATAATTTTGGAAACGAAAAAAATAACATCTCGAAATTCACACTGTTCAATACCTGCTACAGAAATCGATTGGGTATTATGGTTAATTAGTAAAAGAGATGATGCAACTTTAACAGAAGTATGCTACACGTTTTTTAAATTCCTTGGAATTCTTTATTTCATACTTTTTTTTGTTAGTACGGAATTTTGATTTTACATTATCTGAAGGGGACTTAGTCTTGTTTAGTGCTTTCAACGAAGTTGGTGGGTCTTAAAAATGTGCCACATTGATTCAAGTAATGCGAAGATGAAGCCATTAATTTGGACGTGGTAGCAGAAAAGGACTATGTCCGGTTTGTATGGATAGGAAGAGGTGGAGTGTATGAAGATAGAGCTTTTGTAAGGAAAGGAATCGTTAACTGTGAGACAGTGCGCAAGTGTCACGTTGCTAATAGTTTCATTTTTTAATTTCAGGACGCAAAAGAGCTGAAGGACTGCGTGGAGCGATATTTCGAACGCATTGCATCCTTTTCAAGGCAATAATATTTAATGACCAATCAGCTATTTGCTCATGTGATCTCCCAAAACTAGTTCGTGAAATCTTATGTTGAATCTTGTTGTTTAAGCAGTGGTATCATTTGATTCATTGTAAGCTGCCATATTTTGGTAACACGGAAAAGACTTATCGAATGCAGAAAGTAATTTCCAGATTTTCATCTGAACAAAAATTTCAAACACTCTCTTGCACCACTGCTTCTGTGTGCCTTTATATGTTATGTAAATAAATTTTACTATCACGCTTGATTTTCTCCTCAACATTAAGTATGGTAGTGAGAAGTGGAAAGATGGAATGAATGTCTTCCCTGATTTTCATTTTCGCCTGCAAGTATTCCAATTACGATGGTCGATTTGAAAGAACTTGTTTTCTCCTTCATCTTTTCCACAAACTTTTATTCAATCTATTCCATGCAAGCGAACTGTTTATGTTTCTATTACTTGACTAATTCTGTCATCTTTTGGCAGTGTTTATATGTCTTTTCGCACTAGCTATCCTGCATTGCTTGGTCGTGCTAGGCAGTCTATCCGATCCTCATGGCGTTCACTACATTTTCGGTCAAGCGCATAACGAATAATCGTCTAGTTATCCTTTCCGGAGAAAAAAAAGTGGAGCAATACGGAAATCTTTCTCAATTACCTTTATATTGCACACGTATGGACGAAGCGTTTGAGATGGCGTCCTTGGTTTGCCTGTTACTTTTTATACGAACTCTTCATAGCTCTGGTTCTTGGTTCTCACTGCGATATCTTAACTGAGAATTAACGTCTAAGATCATTCCTTTTTATTACCCATAACAAGGAACAGCAAACAAAACAAACTGTCAGCAATACTGAAAACAGAACATAACAGACATAGGCTCATAAAGACAAACCGCACAGGAAAGTCATATCACAACAGATCCAGCTCAAAAGCATTGCTTTATGTACCTTAGACGTGGTGGTATGCACAAATCATAATAACCAATGATTGTAACAAGACTGGGTACCACTGAAATACCACAGACTACAAACACAACAGAGAAATAATTAGGGAAAGCAGGGGAACTTGATAACATTATTTAAGGACAATAGTAGGAAAACGAGGACACTCAGCAGGGCGCAGAAAAAGAAAAAAGGAATCAGAAAGTGTAACTCCTTTTCCGGTGAAAAATAAATATCCTATAACTTTCTACTCCTCGGGTACTGTTACTTCTTGTAGTTTCACTTTTTCTGTAGTTAAAGGCACCGTAATAGTTTCTTCCACCAAGTCTTCATTATCTGCTTTCACTGCATCTAAGCCACCTGCAATAAGAACATTTTGATTTGTCCCACTCAAAGTAAAAGCAGAAGGAGGCGTCACATTGTTAAAAGAGAAATAAAAGTCATTATGCCTTTTGCGTCTTTATAATTTATTTATAATTTCTGTCTACAATCGAAGTATCCAAAACTTCTCGCACAAGTTCCAGCAACAAAATCAGCATGTAAACCATTTAGAAAGAAAAACCTCTCAGCTGTAAGCGTAACTCTGCTTCTTCTGCCAATTTCTTCGTGCAAGCGTTACGGATCTGGACAAAATCGGCCATAATTTTCTTGCGTTTTTCACTCACTTCCTGAATATATGCATATCACAATCGAACCGGTTCAAGGAATGAAAGTTACAAGTATAGATGATAAAGAGCAAATGCAAACCTTGGTTGCTCTACCACGTTCCATTTTATCTTCTTCTTCAAATTTAGCTGATGTAGTTTTCAAATTCTTCCTAATCATCTGCAAAGCAATTACCACTTTCACTAATACTATTTTACAGTGCTGATATGAACGAATCATGGAAAAGATTTGGGACGCATTAGCTGTAACACGGTTCTATCAAATCAAATTGAAATAGTATAACCAACGGCAGTCTTTACGGCGCTACTTGTTATCTACCCGGCCAGTAGAAACTCATCTAAACATATTTTTCCCCGTCAAAAAAGAAGGTTTAAAGCCACCTTAATAGTTTCATCAGGCAGTTTAACCGACAAACGTGGTCGCCATTTGAATTGCATTAGTCGGTCCAATGGCTTTCTGTACAATTCTCTTCCTTGGAAAGTATAGATACGATAACCAGTATCACCTTTCCCACCACCAATTGTACATGCTGCTGTAAAATACCGTCCTGTAGGATCCCAGCTTCCCTGAAATTCAAGATTAATACTGTGAAGGCCTGCAGTCCCTCCTTCCCCTTTATATCGAATCATGTTCTACTTCAAGGAGAAATTCTTACACCTTCCGTCATCCTTGACAATTTCCCAGAAAAAAAGGCTTTTTATATGCTAGAAGATTAACCTTATTAAAGCCTGGATATTCGACTAAATTGGTTCGAGTCGGTCGCGTTCCGTTGCTGTCAATAAACATTATATTGCCGGATGCCGTACCAGCAGAAAAAACGACCAGCCAACCACCTGCTGGTGCCCAAAGAACATCACTGAAGCGTTCCATCGGTTCAAATTTCGATATAAGTTGAGGCGCATGCTTGGTCGTATCCAAGTAATATATAAGAGGAGTAGATTTATGTTGTGATCCGACAAGCACGCAAAATTTGTCACCTGAAGCAAAGATCATTCAGAAGTATTCAGCAGTTTCAAAATGTTTGTCAAAGACGGCTAACAACAACTGCACTTAAGCTATATTTTAAAACCTTCCTACCATAACGATCTAGCACAATGCACCAAATCACAATTTCTCTTTCATCAATATATATATATATATATATATAAAATATACCACATGCACACTACTCTGCTACATAATTACTTCATTTCAGATTTTTGATAGTTGTAGAAACAAAAAGAAAAATATTTTACCGGATGGTTCCCAATCAAATGCTATAAATGATTCAGAGAGAGGCATTGAAAGCACGGAGATGTCTTTCCCTCGTGCATCGAAAATTTCTATGTGTGAAGTCGGGTTCTGTAAATAATAGTGGGTCATAAATAAAGCGATATGTTTAAATTATTTTTGATTCATACAAGGTAGTTCACTTCTACGGGTGTACCAGGTTTTTAAGAACCTCAAGGCCTTAAGGGCTTCCACCTAATTTTGTCATCATACCTCTAAAGTTATGGCATCTCACTGCCCAATTACCAACTATGGATAGCATGGAAAAGATAAATAATTAACATCTAAAGAAAAAGATGTGTTCCAAAGTAACATATTCAACTTTATATGTTTAAGCTGAAATTCTCAGATAAAAACTAAATGTTGAAAAATAAGGATTTTATAACAACATTCACGTACCGTATACTTAATTTCCTCTACAGCTCCACTTGCAGATGTCTTGATATTTTTCTTCTGATAACGTTCTGTATGTGCAGCTAATCGATCACCATTTTTATTCCAAAACAGTTCTGCTTCCGATACAGAAAATATTCGTTGCGCACGAAGTTTCTTTTTTGATGGAATTTCCATCAAACCAATTTCCGCTGGTGCATTATCTGATGTCTTAATATTCCTTTTGTCAAAAACAGTCTTATCGTTATGAAACAACAATAAATCAGTGTGAAATTATCATGTCCTCTTAACAGAAGAAAATGAATACTTACACGTTCGTCACAATAATATGCAATAATGGGGCGTGTTGGTGACCAACGGAAAGTTCGTAAACCCTCAATTACTACATGCTTCTTGTCTAATAAGGTAAAACTCTTCGTCTCATATACATTGATTCCATTACCACCGGGTTTCGGACATGCCACAAATCCATTCGCTTCTGGACAAGCCAGATATGTTTCATTCGGTCCTAAAGATCGAGTATCTGCTGACCATCTATAAAAAACAAATATAGCTTTCCTCATTTTATAGTGACATTTGTTCTTTTCGATGATAGTTACAATTAATCAATCGTAAGCAAACTGTTATAGGCAGATCGAATACCATTTGCTAAGAAGCAAGTTCAATATATTACGGCTTATTTCAGGGTGAATACTTTGTGATCTATTTTATAGTGGTGAATGCGTCAACATGCTGAGAAATCGTATTAAAAATAAATTCACTTGAGTCAAAAAAGTAATACGAAAAATACGCATATAAAAAGTGTCAATATCATTAAAATATACTGAAAATATGGCCAGCAGGGTAATTCATTGGATCCTTCTTGGGTAAGCAATGAAAAACCACGTCGCATTTCTCCAGTCATAGTATCAAATATACGCAAAGAATTAGTATCATCAGCCCATCGATTTTCTGGTAATGAGTACGTAACAAGAAATCTGTAAAAAATGTTTACTGCCATCCTCATTTATCATTTTCATGTTCTTCTTACGTTTTTGTAACCTAAATCAAAGATACAATCATCCTTCCTAACATTACAGTTGCAAAAACTCAGATCACAATCACTATCATATTGTCACTGACAGAAGTGAATTATATGTGCCGGTATTAAACAACAATTCCTCTTATAGAAAGAAGCCAAATGAACAGTCCATTGCAAATTTTTTTCGATCACCAACTAGTAATGTGCCCACTTTTTTAACATTAAGTGTTCGAAAAAACTTTCAACGCATACCTTTCACACGGTGAAAAATCAAGCATCACAACATTTTCATGCGGATAACGAGCAAAACGCTCAAAGTTAGCCCCTGCCCATAACGCGATACCCATACGATGAACACTTACAAAGAAAGTACCATTAGGAGACCACCTGAACACTGTCTCGGTCCAGTACTGAAAAGTACTTTGCTCCCATTAATAGCATCAGACATACCAGTTGATTCGTTTCACTATCAATTATTTCTATGAATACCAATTAATCAATTATTTCAGCAATGACGGATAGTTTTGATTGAAACTTAATCGACGATCGAACAGAACCTAGGTTTCCTTCATTTTTGATAATAAAAAAAGCAGAATTGTTTAAAACATACTTGTCGTTCCGTGACAGGCACAGGATCTTGTCCTTTCCGGTATTCGTAAACTCCGACAAACGGTGATGTCGAGCCATATTTAGAACCTTGTGCATCACGCTCATAATGAACAGCGAACTGATCGTAACATTTCTCATTTTGCAACCAAGACCATAAATCACCCTAAAAAAGCATTCCATTTGCATAGCTAAAAATTCATATTTGAACCATAAATCATCGAATATATTCCCATACAAATAAACCGGGAAAAATCACAAAAACATACGATATTGTTGTATGGTCGTGCTTCTGGTGGTCTCCAATTTTCATCCGGTTTCTCGAATTTATTCAAATCATTAAATAGATTGGCCGAAAATGTGTGATTTTTGTCCAGCAGATAACCATGCAATATTGCTGTAGCATTCTCTGCTATCTCGCTGCCAGGGTATTCCACAAAGCAGTAGCCCTACAATGTACACAATACTTTGAGGTAATCAAAAATTATGCAGTAGAATTTAGGTTTCAAATGACCTATACTGAATCATTTGACAATTTTCCTCTACATATTTTTAAGAGATTTCATATTCATCAATGCGCCTATCACCAATTATAATTTGTATGGGGGATTAATTTTTGCATATAACTTGTATAGAGAATAAAATTGTACTGAGAATTAGTTCAAATCATCACAGCATTTTTATATTGCCCACCTAATACGAAGCGGATTAGAATCAATCGTGTAGGCGGTTTGTACTATGATCCCTTAATTACAAAAAAAAAGAAAAACTAATATATCAAGCATGGACTTATACCATTAATCGAAGAATATCAACCATTCAACATAACACATTATTTAGTTGTTACAACAACCGTGCCCTTATATCGTGATTTCATATAGAATTTATCATTTTTAAAAATTAATATCGGTTCGGTTTTCCCTGCCAAACCGAACTGAGTAAATATTTGCATTATAACATGCCTTTGTAGAGCCATTATCATCCACCGGATAGAAATCATTGAACTGTGGATGGATCCGACCAAAAATTTTCCCGAGTACACTCTTCAACTTCGGTAAACGATTTTCATCAACTATCGGTATGCCGGAGACTATTATGCAACAGTGGTCGTATTCACTCAAAGACGGTTTTTTTCGCAACACATCGCCAACTAATTCTGAAAATTTCCGAAATATTTTCCAATTCTTATTTCAAATAAATATTAAAGCCAACCGATGTTTTTTTAGAAATATATATATATAGCGATAGGTAGTACGGTGTTCGACCTAACGCTGATCTGTCCATATCGACCCACATATTCTCTATCTTCCAAAACACAACCACAATTTATATATGATGAAATTGAAAGAAATGATCGTTCAGGTGTTTCACCAGCATGCAATGAACTGTATTAAAGCAACCGAGGAATAAAAAAATTTGGGAGATACAAAATGAATCTCCCCTCCCAATCTATTCAAAAAAAAGCATTTTCGTGAAATCCTTTCTCTACAAACAGAAAAATTATGGTATACCTTCATCAGTTGCGCTGTCTCTAAAGCCATACTCGCTGTCTGAAAAGGATGGTTCCTCCAGAACATTCTCATCTAATATCGGATCTGCCGCCACCATTCCCTTCAATATGAAACAGTAACCCGTTTTTTCTAAAAAAAATACAGGAACATTATTGACTGAGCTGCTCCGAATAAGAGATAATTTTGACGGTAACTGTATAAACGACTTAATTTTACAAGTATGCATCAATTATGCAAACCTGAAATACAACTTGGGGAAAGTCCGGAAGCCTAGTTATTAATCATTTACAGATGCAATAAATGTTGCTTATAAGCAATAAGGGACAATATATTTTCAATTAACAATGTGTATTAGATATTCCTGTAAATTACTTAGTATTGATTATCTGTCACTTATTCCAAAGTCTTATACGGCAGTTCAATTAATGAAAGCTCTTATTAATTACCTAGCATTTAATGCTTATCATGCATCACTTGGCAATTTCACAAAGTAATTTACACAAGCATACTGTTACAAATTGCTTGGTAATCCCGACTCATCAATTAAATCAAGATATTATAATGTATAAAACTACTAAATATTTTCTAATCTCATCACCACTATAACCAAAATCAGCTACCAGCGCTTAACATTTCCATGGCTCATGCAATGTTCATGCATATTAAAGTTAGTTACTCCTCATTTATCATTCAGCCAAATATATAGCAATAACATAACAGAAACCATTTATCACTCTCGTTTCACCAATCTTAGACTATCATCTGGGATATCACGACCAAAATCACTCATTTACCTTGACAGTAAAAGTAACACAGTAATGATTTACATAATATTTCTTGTATGTTATCAAATCTTATCCTCATCGCTTATTACTTATCGCTCGTCACTAATAACCTGAGTATGAGCATGTATAAATATAAGTAAGCATGAGCGTGCATAAATACGTATCCATGTAATTATTACTCAACAATTAATTATCAACCGTCTAGCAATAAACAAGGCACCACAACAGTTCGAAACACCACACACAACTACTCCACACCATCCCCCCAAGCACAAAGGAACCTATGTGCCTTTCACGGACACCCCATTATGCTACGCCTACTGGATCATCGTTAAACAAGCACACTTCCATTTATATTTATTTTACTTTTTGGTCATTGAATTACAACGAATAATTACCATTCTAACATAAGTCAAAATGAAAGATTTAAATATTGTTTGAGTGATGGAATAATATATACGCGTGCAATACAGAGCATGCTGACGAAAAATCTGCAAAATTCCATGTTACTCATTTATTCTCGGGCCTAAAAATTATCACGATACCTCGGGATAAAAATCTAAGGAATCCTAGAAATACAAAAACAAAATTCTAATTTCTGCTATGCTACCTACAGGATACTTTGTAATGTAAATTAAATTATACTGCAAAAATATCATTCAAAATTAAGGAAGTCACAACTGCCCACCACCTAACGAAACAGCTATGGGAGGTTAATCGTTACGACAGTTTTATACGGACAGCAGTGATACTGTTAAATATTGTCTATGCTGACGAGTAAATGTCGGTTTACTGGTTGACGTGGTTCGTTTTCGGAGATGTATCGGATGGTAGAATTTTTCGGAGTCCGGATTTTTCAGCGTTCAAAATTGCTGTCATTATTTTACATTAGAATTTTTAGAAGCATCATTGAGATCACTTATATGTTGTTTGGCTATATGTTTCTAAATTCAAGTTTTTGAATCTTCTGTGTTGCACTTATCATGCAGTCATTTATCATATCGTTGTACGTCATAAATTTCACATAACTGTTCCGGAATATATACCTTAAACGGATGGAATCTAAAATAGATGGATTCATTCTCTATTAGTTTGGACATAAATATAACGTTTCAAGTATTACAGATAAAGTATCATCAAAAAAAAAAGTAAAAAATAAAAAAGAAGGATGGATGCATTTATTATGTAGTAGTTTTGACATGCATGTGACATTTTAAATATTATAAATAAAGCATTATAAAGAACTGTGATATAATATTTCAGGACGATAATGGGATAATTCGATAAGGTGGTAGTTAGTATCGCTCGTGTGTAAACTCTTCCCCGATTTGCTTGATCTAATGATCAAGGAATATTGTTCTAGAGCTTTATATTGGATACGAGATGGGAAATATTCGTGGTTGATTCATTACTTGAGTACAACATATGTACAATATACCAAATTTCAGGTGTTAACGATGCTGTTGTAATAATTGTTCATTAGTCTACCTCACAGAATAGCTCGATAACTATTTGGATATTACGGATAACGGGTAATGAGCCAATGGATTTCTCATTTTTCTTCTTACCGCTCTATCTGTTCCACCAGCTAATACTGGTATCAGCTGGGCGAGATTTTTACAGAATTTTAAATGTGCCACGTGATGCAAGTCTTAACCAAATTAAGAAAGCTTACCGAAAACTGGCCAAAGAATTGCATCCCGATAAGCGAAATAATGATCCGTTGGCACAAGAAAAATTCCAGGACATAGGTGCTGCTTATGAGGTTAGTATTACTTTTTACATACCTCAGTTTTGATTCCTACATTTGGCTAAAGTAATTCTTTGATTATTATAACATTCTAATTGATAGTGACATAATTATTCATATGAATAAACATTTAAGTGTGGAATGATTTTTCAATAGCTTATTTATAGGTTCTAAGCAATGAAGAGAAGAGGAAAATCTATAATCTTCACGGTGAAGAGGGTTTGAAAAGTGCAGGTGGTGGTGATAGTGGAAGTTTCCATGATCCATTTTCTTCATTCTTTGGCGATTTCTTTCACAGCAAACATGAAGAAGGAACACTTCGTGGTGCTGATGTGGTTATGGACTTATGGGTTACACTCGAAGAAGTATATAATGGGAATTTCGTAGAAGTGAAAAGGTTCATGAAATATTATTACACTTTC